CACCAGGGAGGGCCCGGCCTGCACCTTTTCATGGTGGACCTGACCTTGAGCCGTCTCTGAGAACCTGCCAGTTTGGGAGGAACATTTAGCTGTCCTCAAAGCTGGAGGCAGAGGACAGAGGGGCGGGGTGAGCACACAGAGGGAGGTGGGAGGGGTAGAGGACATGGGTGTTTGTGGAGGAAGACCTCAGGGGACCCGGGGACAGGGAGCTCAGGCCAAGATCCCCAGGCCTGGACGGTCAAACCACACGGCGGTCTGGCTGGTCGGAAATTCCTGACACCGAGACAGGACTTGGGGACGCAGCCAGCTCTCCACCCACCAGAACCCTCTTCAGCCTTGCCTGCTGCCCAGTGATTTTTGAGATATGTGAATCACCAGAAAAATACAAACACACCCTGGGAGCAAGAAAAGGCCACTCCTGGTTTGCCGTGTCTGGGAAAGTTTGCTGGGTTCCGCTGCCGTCCCGTCGGGGGACACGTGTCCAGAAAGCGGCTCCCTGCCAGGCTCGCAGCAGAGCGTCAGATGTCCCAGGTCTGCAAGTGTGCAGCCAGCTGAGACCCTCCTGCCAGAGCCGGTAAGGACGCAGGGAGGGAGGAAATGAGGGGAGAGAGGCAGGGGGCGGTTCCACCATCTCGGCCTTTTTAGACTCATTCTTTTCAGAATCTGGGAATTGGAGAAGTGGCTTTATGGCCTTCCCACCAGAACCCACATTGGAGGGACTCAGCAGCCCAGCAGAAAAGCTCTGGTCAAAGGATCCACCTACATCTCACACTCAGGTGTTTAGGAAATGGCTCTTCTCCAGTCTGCCGGTCTCCGCAGCTCCCGGGGAATTCTCAAAACTGTGTTTTGTTCAGTGAATGAGGCCTGCCACTCAGCGAGGGCCACCGCCCCCCTCTTATTTTATTTTTCCAAATTATGTTTATTGAGGTAAAATAGGTTTACACCTTTATTCTGTTCTGGGGGAGATAGGTCCACGACCCCACTTCTTCCTAAAAGCTAACTTAATTTTCATGTGCAGCATACACATCAGAAGCCAGCAGCTCCAAACGTCTCCAGGGGACACACCCAGGTAACCAGCTCTCGGGCCAAGAAATAGCACAAACCTGGCTCCCAGCCCAGACCCCTCCGGCGCCCATTTTTTGAACTTAATATGAAAGGAATCAGTCCGGTCATCCTCCTGGGGGCCTCTCTTCCCTCATTCCGGTGTGTGCTGTTCATTTTGTTATAATACATCTCCCTGCGTGGACACAGCACTTGTCAGTTCATCCTCCTGTGGGTGACTGCCTGGACAGCTTCACATCTGGGACAACCGTGACATTGTAAAACACTCCAGTCTTTGGAGAATATACATATGCTTCTGTGTGTGTGTGTGTGGGGGGGAAGAATAACATAGATTCTGCTTCATGGGTTCCAGAGTAGTAAGTTCCAGCAAGATTGAGACAAACCGAGACCAAGTTCTAGGTGTCTGTAGGAAAACTGAAAGAAGTCTAAGTAACAACTTGGCTGCTCTGTGCCCGTTTTCCTCTTCATTCTTACGCTCACCAAGTATCAGCTAAACACCTGTTGTGTCCCAGAGGTGCAGGGGCAGTGAGAGGATTCACCAGAGACAGAGTGGGGAGCAGAGCAGGCAGACCTACGAAGTCCACTGCTGAGGGGAGCAGTGGGCGGGTCAGGAGAGGTCTGCTGTCATGTGGGTCACCTCTGGGGCGGGAATTGAACTTGCACTGAAGTGGCTACCACTAGTTTGCAGTGCTTGTGCTAACCTGTTGTGCCACTAGGGAGGGCCGTGCTCTGCATTGCAACCAACTCAGAAAAGCTGGAAAGGGTGGGATGTTAGGGTGGGGACAGAGGGTGCCAGGATAGGGCTGATAGCAGCGGGTGGACCTGGCCCGCTGCTCAGCTTTTCACCCCATGAACTTGTTGAGTTCCCCTGAGGCCCTCCATGGTCGGTGTATTCTGATACTCATCTTACAGACTAATCATTAGAGGCACAGGGAGGGTAAGAGACCTGCCCAAGGGTACACAGCTGGTGAGGGACTGACTCTTTAAAATCTGCACATGTGTGTTCACACACATATGCACACACAAGCACACACATGAAGTGGATTGGCAGGCTGGCAGCTACTTGGCAGGATTGAGCGGAAGGCCTCAATCTCAACTTCCACTCTGCCTTTCCTGTTGCGTCAACCCTGTACCCTGGGCAGTGCTGGGCAGCCCGCAGGACTTGGCAGAAATATACAGGGTGGGGTCACCCTAGCATCATGCAGGCTGATGCACTGACTATCTGGGTACTCACCCCCGTGCCACGTACTTTGCACATATAACTCCTCAAGGCCTCCCTAAAACTGTGACTCATCACCTTGATGACTCCCAGAGAGAGAGAGAGAGTGGGAGGGAGAGAGGACAGAGAGGGACAGAGAACACTAGCAAACCAAAACAGCTCACCCAGGGTCACAGAGCTTGGGGCCCCTGGACATTGGCAGCACCGCCCTCTTCTGCTTTCCTGGAATCATAAAATGTTTTGGATCATGATATTCGAAGGTCAGAAGTCCCAAAGTGAGACTAACACAGTTTGAAATTCAGCTCTGCTTCTTGCTTAGCTGAATGAACTTTGGACTTCTCTGCCTCAGTTTCCTCCTCGGCAGAAAGGCTAGACCAACAGAATTAAAACCAGAGGGTTGTGCCAAGGACGAAATGACAGCATTTAAAGGTGCTTCAGGCAGTGCCTGGCACGTAACAACACAAAGGGCTTGTAATAATAATATATAACAATAATTAATAATTCAATGACCAGAAACAGTAACAATAATCATACTGTGTCCCTCAAAACAGGGAGAGATTATTTGCTGTTGTACAGACATCATGAAGTGTGGCTCACGGAGAAGTTAGAGCCTCTCACACGCACAGGCTAGATGTAGGGAGCCCTGTCTTGTACCCACAGTCTGGTGTTGTCCAAACTGTCATTATGATTGGAATGACAACAGGTCATTTCTGTGACAGGTGATGTCACTTCTCTGCTTACACGCTCCCATGGTTCCTATCTCACATAGAATAAGAGACGGAGCCCTTACAATACTTCCCTGGCCCTTGACAGGTCTCTGCTCGCACCTCCCCTGAGCCCTGCCATCCACTCTGCTCCAGACACCTGGAGTCATTCAAACATCCAGACAAACCTGGGTGTCATTCCTGTTTTTCTTCTTTCCATTTTAAAAGGAGAGGTTTATTAGGAACAGGAGAAAGAAAAAAAGAGCCACCTGCATAGTCAAGGGTGGGCAGAAGAGCAGACATCCATGCTGTTCTAATGTGGCGTCATGTTCTACATCAGCGCCTTTGCACTGGGTGTTCCCCCTGCCTGGAATGTTCTTCCCCACATGGCCCCCTTCCTCCCTTCCTTTATGGCTTTGCTCAGAATGTGTGAGTCCCTCTCGGACCCCTGGTTTAAAATTCCAACAGGGCCTCCCTGGTGGCGCAAGGGGTTAAATCTTAGCACTATCAAGCTATCTGCTATCAGCAGATCCCAGCGCACCTCTGGCCGACACCCCAGCATTTGTATGATAAAATAAAATAAGATAAAACAAAATAAGATAAGATAAAGTAAAACTCCAATATAGGAATATTTCAATGTCTATACAGAACATTTTATATTTTACATATATTTGTGTGTATGAAGTACATATTTTACCACACACACACAGGTCATAGCAGTTAGTGCCTTCTAAAACCTAATGTGTTGTGCTTGTGTGCGCCTTTACTATCTGACTCCTCCCCTAGATGTCAGCTCCCAGGGAGAGGTTTTGTCTGCTGGTATCTAGGGCTTGAAGCAGACAAGGTATTAGGGAACTGTGTTGAGGGAATGAAAGAATTCTAGAGAATTCAACATCGTAGCATTCCTAACACTGTAACAACTTTAAGAAATAGCTTTTTCCCTTAAGGTCCCTTAACAGTCCCTTATGCTAGGGACCGTTACCAGCGTGTGTTCTGGTCATAAGACCCAGAGAGCTGTCTTTGAATGATAAGCCTGCTTTGCTGTATTTTGGTTTTGTTTTCCGGCTTACATTTTAAAATAGCAACAAACCTGGAGGTACATTTTCATCTCACCAAGATTTGAAAGTACTGATGATGAAGAAGAACCAAGACAAATAACTTTGGCTGTAAAAATGTATTAACCATTCACCTCTCTTGGTGGACATTTGGATTCCAGTGTTTTAGATTCTAGAAGTCCCAGGCTCTCCCTGGTGGTGCAGTGGGTTAAGTAAGACACAGCACTGCAAGCTGGCCACAACCTATTCAGTGCGACTTCTATCCACAGCCCTGGAGATGACCCACATGGCACAGCAGACCTCTCCTGGCCCGCCCGCTGCTCCCCTCAGCAGTGGACTTCGTCGATCTGCCTGTTCTGCTCCCCACTCTGTCCCTGGTGAATCCTCTCACCCTCCGCATCTCTGGCCTGTACCCCAGTTCTGTATGAATAAATAAATCTTTAAAAAAAATTCTTGAATTCCAGGTGGCTCGTGGGCTCATGTTTCTAATACTTCAATGCACTCTAACGTTTCTGTCCAAAAAGGTAGCCACGAACTTTATGTAGCGATTTATGTTAGTTAAAATGAAGTGAAACTGAAGTTTACCTTCTCAGTTGACTCCAGCCTAGTGTGACCGGCTGCTGCCATGTGAGGCAGCACAGGTAAAGCCCATTTTCACAGTTCCATCGACAAAGCTGCTCGAGAATTTCAAATTCCAGGTGGTCACCATTGTTCGTTTCATAGGTGAGGCTGTCAAGATTTGAAAGTCATGGCCTGTTCTGATACTGTACTCTTTTAGATTCCCCGGCTGTTCCTGAGCTCCTGTGCTAGCACGCGAGAGTGCGAGAATTGCAGTATCAAAGGTGCTGGGGTCCTGGCGTGCTGCTGGTGGACTGGGGTTCCTGCCCCATAGGAGGACCCCGAAGCCCTGGGAATCTTGGCCACTGAGGTTTCTCTCTGGTCCAGGTGTCTTGGTCCGGGATGCAGAACACTTCTCTCAGCGACGAGTATGAACATTACGGTGACGAGCTGCCAGACCTGCCCGTGGACTGCCCTGACGGCGGGTGTGTGTCCATGGACCTGCTGCGCACCACCCCGCTCCTGCTCTACGCCGTGGTCTTCCTGCTGGGTGTGCCTGGCAACACCATGATAGCCTGGGTGAGCAGGAGGGAGGCCCGTCAGAGAGTCAGTGCCACCTGGTTTCTCCACCTGGCCGTGGCAGACCTGCTCTGCTGTTGGTCTCTCCCTGTCCTGGCAGTGCCTATTGCCCGTAGGGGCCACTGGCCGTATGGGGCTGTGGGCTGTCGGGTCCTGTCTCCCATCATCCTGCTGTCCATGTACGCCAGCGTGCTGCTCCTGGCTGCTCTCAGCACTGACCTGTGCCTGCTGGCCCTCAAGCCCAACTGGTGGGCTTCCACGGGGCGAGCATGCAGAGTGCAGGCCGCCTGTGGGGCAGCCTGGACACTGGCCTTGCTGCTCACTGTGCCCTCTGTCATCTACCGCCATCTGCACCAAGAATACTTCCCGCCCAGGCTGGAGTGTGTGGTGGACTACGGCGGCTCAGTGGCAGCTGAGTACACAGTGACCACCATAAGGTTTCTTTTCGGATTTCTGGGGCCGTTGGTGATTGTGACCAGCTGCCAAGGCACTCTCCTGTGCCGTGCAACCCAACGCTGCTGGCCCTTGGGCACAGCCGTTGTGGTGTTTTTTTTTGTCTGCTGGGCCCCCTACCACCTACTGGGGCTGGTGCTCACTGTGGCCACCCCCAACTCTGCTCTCCTGGCTAAGGCCCTGCGGGCTGAACCCCTGGTTATAGGCCTTGCCCTGGCTCATAGCTGCCTCAATCCTGGACTCTTCTTGTATTTCGGGAGGGCTCAACTATACCAGTCACTGCCAGCTGCATGTCGTTGGGCCCTGAAGGAATCCCAGAGTATGAGTGAAGGCGTGGTCAGCAAGAAATCCACCAGTCACGAGGAGGTCGAGGTGTAGGCTAGAGGAAAACCCGTTTGTGTCTTTCAATCACATTTCAAAAAGTAGCTTCAGGTATAGGTATAGCTAGATCCAGGGGCTCCTTGATATCATCTATTCCATAATTCCTTCAACTATCATTCATTACTCACATGCTATGGGCAAGGTACTGGGGCTGTAGTAGTGGCCAAAGCAGACACAAATACCTGCCTCCAAGGAGGCAGATAATAAGCAGAAAAAGGAGGCAGATAATAAGCAGAAAAATAAAGGATTCTTTTAAGGGGTGAGAAACTTAAGGGAGCAAAGAGGGCTAACTGAAGTAGGGATCTAGTTCTACCAGGGAAGGTTCCTTGGTGATATCTGAGCCAAAACCTGAAGAATGGAGAGAGGAGTTATAGTTAACCATGGGAATGGGGGAGAAGCTTTCCAACTGGCAGGAATAGCAAATTCAAAGGCCCTTGAGGCAGAATGTATTTGGCACTATAGGGGGAGGAGCAGCTGCAGTGTATGCAAAAGGTGATGGTGCCTCAGATCAGAGCGAGAGTGTGACACAGATTATGGGCCTATTTTGAAGGAAAGGCCAAGTCCAAGCCCCTAAGCATTTGAGGATTTTCTCTACAACTGGACACACTTTATATTCTAGCTACTCAGACCCAGTACCACACAGAATAATGGCTTCTAGTGATATCTGTATCCTAATCCTGTCCTGAGACTATGTGAATTTACCTGGCAAAAGGATCTTTGCAATGTTATTAAAGATGTTAAGAAGGAATGATGATCTTGGATTATGAAGTGGAAACAATTTCCTCATGGGGTTTGTAAGAGGGAGACAGGAGGGGCAGAGAGATGTGACAACGGAAGCAGATGTCAGAGTGACGTGAGGAAGGGGCCACCCAGCCAAGGAATGCAGGCAGCTTCCAGAAGCTGAAAAAAGTGAAGAAGTGGATTTTCTCTGAAGTCCTTAGGGCCAGCACAGCCCTGCTGACATGGTGATTTTAGACTTCTAACTGCCAAAACTTTAAAAGAATAAATATGTATTGTTTTAGGCCACTAGCTTTGTGGTAACTATTACAGCAGTCAAAGGAAAAGAATACAGACCTTGTTGTGTTCATACTTCTGGGTCTTTTCTCAAACTGGGGCTTGAGACATTCCGTGCCTGGAATGTCTAGAGGATTTATGCTGGCCTGTGATGGGCTGCCTGAGAGACTCAACAAATTAGAATCACAAACCTATATAAACTGAAGCCTGAAGTCTGAAAAGGTGGAGCAGTTTATCAGAATTTTCTACCCCAGGAAGACTGAAAAAAACTTACTTTCTAGTTGTGCTTATACAGTTGTGATGATTGCAGTGCAAGTCAGCTACTTAAAATAGCGTCGCTCCTCCTAAGACTTTGGTTTTCTCCTTAGACATCGCACTACTGCTTGGCATTCTATTTCTTTTAATTTGTGTGTGTCTCTCCCACCAAAATGTGAACTCCATGGGAGCAGAGATTTGATCTGCTTTGTGTGTATGTGACTTACTGTAGGAAAAAGGGGATGATGGGAAAGGGCATTATAATAAAAATAAAAGCTCTAGCACTTGCTCTCAAGCAGTGACAAGTCCAGTTTGTGTACCTTAAGTTTGCTCTTTCGGGAATTTTTGCCAACAATCTTGGAAAGTAGGTATTATCTTTCTGTTATAAACAGGAAATATGCTCAGTCCACAATGACTGGTGTTTTTAGGATTCCCTTTTCTCCCAAAGACCCTCCAAGAGCTGGGGAGGCGTTGAGCTGGGTTATCTACTGGCGAATTGACAGGATGGATTGTACACGAACAACACTATACATAATTACAATCATAATGAGTAATTTATGGCCAGCTGCCTCGTTGGGTTAAAATCCCAGGCTCCGCGAGTCCTGAGTGCAGATAGCAGTCCGGATAGGATAGAGAGGGGCCGGGGAGACGCTTACAAGTCTCCGCAACAGCCCCTTCAGGAAACCCTAGATGGTTCAGCGTTACCCAGGCACCTCCCTCTGCGAGGCGGAGCCGGAGCGTGGTAGGCGCAGGCGCAGTGTGGGTCTTGGTTACCCGCAGCTACCCATTGGCTCCTCGGCCTGCGACGGGGCGGGAGGATGGCGTGCGCAGGCGCAGGAGCGGCTTCGGGCGGGTAAGGGGAGCTGCGCACCGGAAATTGAGGAGATCGCGGTGGATAGAGAGGTGAGGGGCGGGGCGGCGGTGCATGAGGCTAGAGTTGGGCCGGGGTACCTGGGGGGCGATCGGAGGGCTGGAGAGAAATTCCAGGGCCCCGAGAAGCGGATGGAGATGAAGTTCTGAGCATGCCTGTGAGGTCTTAATGGTCAGAGAGACTTGAGACCGAAAGCTCTTGCAAACACGAGAAGCTTCGGCAAATGACTTGAGAGGAAAGCTTACAGTTAGAAAGAGGTGGGGCGAGAAGTGAGGGTCCTTTTGCCAGAGGCTCACGGGGTCCCCCAGTGAACTTGGAAGACGGAGGGAAACAGATTAGAGTGGAAACGAGAGTCCAAAAATGGATCGAAGAGGACAGTGATATGGAAGCGTGGACTCTGGATCAGGGGGAGAGACCGACAGAAGCTGGGAGGAGGGGGATTGGGAGAAGCCAAGAGCCAGAGAGGGAAAGTGGTTCGGAGAGAAAGCAAGAGGAGATCCGAGTTGGGAATTGAGAGGGAAAACAAGGTAAATGAAGAGTATGAGGAAGGGAGAGAGGTGGGGAGCGCAAATGGAACGGAGAAGACAGTGCTTGCTTCTCTACTTCTGACCTGTCTCACTGAGCATAATCCCCTCTAGGTCCATTCTTGTTGCAACTGACAGAGAACTTGTGAGCCAGTGGGCCCATTTCCCATGAAAGCAGTAGCCTGTAAGGAGTGTGCATCAGTTCTTGGTGATGCCAGAGCAGCTTGGGGGTAAGTTTCCTGCAATTAAGAGGAAAAGGTGTTGAAGGACAGCCAGGGATTCTCAGCCAAAACAGGACCAATAAAGGCAAGGGCTTCCCCTCTGGCTGCAAATTGCCTCTGGTGCATGTGGGATTTCAGCTTTTTTCAATAGCTGAGGTCCTACTCCACTGTGTATGTAGGCCAAGTCTTAAGGAACTCCGGGATGGTCACCAGAGGCAATTTGCAGCCAGAGGGGAAGCCCTTGCCTTTATTGGTCTTGTTTTGGCTGAGAATCCCTGGCTGTCCTTCAACACCTTTTCCTCTTAATTGCAGGAAACTTACCCTCCTCCCCCAAGCTGCTCTGGCATCACCAAGAACTGATGCACCCTCCTTACAGGCTACTGCTTTCATGGGAAATGGCCCTGCTGGCTCACAAGTTCTCAGTCAGTTGAAACCCATAGCTGCCTCCAGTTACTCCCAGGGATAGTCTGAGTCCGCCTGGGACTTCAGAGATAACTCTTAGAACTCTACAGTGGCCCTTGGAGACTCAAGACAGAGTGGGTGCAGACATTGCCAGTCCCATCATGAAGGCCAATTGTAGCCCTTTTTTACTGATTATTTTCATTTCTTTTTAATTGAGATAACATACATCTCAGTATGTTTTAGATTTACAGATCCTATCTCTTCAAATGTTTGCCATACCACAACCATCACCAAAGTGCAAATGCCCCATCACCCAGTCTGTGGCCATTTGAGTTTTTCTAGGTTATACATTCCTGATTTTTGTTTTCCCTGTATTAGAAATGACTGGAGAAAGCACTGACCTGTAATACTACTTACTTTTTAGCTTCTCTGTGCCAGCATTGCTTTGAGATGTAACATGAAGTTATCTTCAAAGCAGTGGCCAGACACCTAGTAAAAAAAGAACATATTTAAACCTAGAATTGCCGGCCGAGGCTATACCAACGAAGGCTTTGGACCTTTCTTAAAGCCATAACGCTTTAGAATATGAAGAATGGCCTTCCCTCCAGAAAAATTACACTTAGGATTTTCTCAGCTGAAAATCAGAAACCCAGCTTTAAGTAGCGACTTTCCTGTGTGGCTGGGAGGTGGAGGGCTGGAGGGAACGAAGCCTCAGTGACTGCCAACCTTCCCCTGCCTCCCTCTGCCTCTTGCAGTTGCTTAGACATCATCCTGTGTGTGCTGCATTGTCCCGATGTGAAGGCTATTCTTGGAGTTAGATTTCTGGAAAAGACTGTCATGTTAAAGGGCTCCAGGTTTATAGCATCCTGGTTCAACCACAGTAGATAGTGAGAACTTGTCTAGTAACTCAGTTCCAGAGAAGGGCCCTGTTAGGGCCTCTTCAGATCATGTGTACACTCCTCAGGGCAATCACAGTTTAAAAGAGTAGTAGAGGGCCTCCCTGGTGGCACAAAGGGTTAAGTCACTGCACAGCACAGCACAGTGAAGCTCTCTGCAGCCACTGCAGCACAAGTCCTATCCCAAGCTGACCCACATAGTGCAGCAGATCTCGCCTGTCTCCCCCCCCCCATGCTCCCCTTAGCAGCATATTTCAGTCGATCTGCCTGTTCAGCTCCCCACACTGTCTCTGGTGGATCCTCTTACCTTCCCCACACTTCTGGCCTTTACCCCAGCTCTTGTATGCATAAATAAATAAATCTTAAAAAAAAAAAAAAAAGAGTAGGGCATCATAAATGGCTAGCTCTTGGTCACTTGCCTAACCAACAGGGCTTCATAAAGGCCATCACACCCACGTGGAGTCAAGGAAGGACTGCTCCCCAAAGGGAGGTGGGTCTGTTTTCAGGAAAAGAAGGGTGGGATGTGCCAGGAAGGCAAAGACAATACGTAATAGCACTTGCAAAATTGTGCTCTTCATTTCAAAGCGTTCCCTGGTGTTCTGATGTAGGTTGGGCTCTAACTGTAGACGGGAGGTGTTGGAGATTGGGTGGTGACATGAGCCCACAATGGCAGGACTGGGGGGCCACTCACATCTTTTGGATGGGGTTGTCTGTGCCAACTACCTGATGGGTTGGAGGCAGCTGAGCTGTGGAGGGTGGAGGCGCATGAGGAAGCCTTCTTCACTCTTCATTTACATGCCTCTCTGGTGCTACTGCCCACAAGCATGTGACCTTATCTCCTCAGGTCAACATTCTGTGCTCACAGGAGGCTCCCGCAGCCCCCTGGGCTTCCTGTGTCATGGCCCCATCACTGGATGGTCAGAGTCTGGTGCAATGTCTGTCCTCCTGTGGCCACTGCCACCTTTAGTGGCTCCTTACTGTCCCTCCTGCAGTCCTCGCCATGACTTTCTGTACATGTCTCTAAAAGCAAGTGTCTTTCTCTCCCTGAAGCATTCAGGACCTGCACACACAGGATGGACTGTGTCCACCTCAGAGGCCAGCGCGGAAGCCCTAAGACACCTCTGTTAGCAGCTTGAATCAGGCCCCTGTCCACTTACTTTGTTATCACAGATGGTCGCCAAGCATCATCAAGGACAAGGAAAATTTGTTTTTTGGAGAAAAAGCGGTTCCTTATTGCAGGCATCTGCCTCTCTCACCACATGGGATGGGAAATGGATGAGATTCTTTGGTCCAAGTGATTAGAATTGAGGCAAGTTTTGTGTCCTTGTGATTAGTGCCAACATGCCACCTCCCAGAACCAAGGAGGGCAGGGGTCACCGTGACCACAGGACTCCCAGGGAGGAGGCGGCCCCAGAAAAATGGAACTGGAATTGTCCAGAGACACGCCGTCTCTTCGAGGAGGCCTTCTTCAGTGATGAAGATTACATCCGCCAGGGTTCTGAGGAGTGTCAGAAGTTCTGGACTTTCTTTGAACGTTTGCAGAGATTTCAGACTCTCAAGCCCACCAGGAAGGAAGAGAAAGAGCCCGGGCGTGCCAAGGCTGGCATCCCAGCGCTGGCTGACCTGCCTCACACTTACGACCCGAGATACCGCATCAACCTCTCGGTGTTGGGTGCCGACACTCGCGGCTCTGGGGGACTGGGCAGGCGCCTGCCGCCTGAGAAGGTGTCTGAGTTCCGCCGAGCCCTCTTGCACTACCTGGATTTTGGCCAGAAGCAGGCGTTTGGGCGGCTGGCCAAGCTGCAGCGGGAGCGGGCGGCTCTGCCCATCGCCCAGTATGGAGACCGCATCCTGAGGGCGCTGCAGAAGCACCAGGTGGTGGTGGTGGCGGGTGACACGGGCTGTGGCAAGTCCACTCAGGTGCCCCAGTACCTGCTGGCTGCTGGCTTCAATCATGTGGCCTGTACCCAACCCCGGAGAATTGCCTGCATCTCACTGGCCAAGCGTGTGAGCTTCGAGAGTCTCAGTCAGTACGGCTCGCAGGTAAGAGGGTGGTAGGGTGTTCAATCCTTCCAGTGTGACCTTGGAGAGTGACTTGCTTGCCTGTGGTGGTATCAACAAAAGCACTTACCCTCTGACCCAGTGGTGGTTCTTCTAGAAGTTTCTCTACAGATTGGCTAAATCTGTAGAGGAACAAAAGCACTAATATCACTTACTATAGCTCTTTAATAACAAAAAAAATAGACATGTTCTAAATCTCATCCATCCTATTTTTAAGCAGCCCCTAAAGAGTGTGGACATGTTTTCTTATTATGGTTTCTAGGGTTAAAGTTATTACCAGAGCTCCGATTCTCTCAGCAGAGGACACCTGGCCTTCGTATGTAGCTTGGTGAATTCTCACATCCATCTAACCAGCACCCAGATTAAAAGTCAAATGCAACAGCACCCCAGAAACCCTGTTCCCCATTTACTTCCTTTGAGGCACAAAGGCTCTCACCTTTCTTAGTTAGCTCTAGACCGTTATCTGTGCTGGATGATCAGGCCTATGTTAATGATAGAATCTCGCTTGTTGCCATTAATTTTTTTCATTTTAGCTTTTCCAAGGGTGTGTAGTAGTATCGCATTTTAATTTGCATTTCCCTGATGACTAAGGAAGGGAGTCCATTTTCACGTCATGACTTTTCTGACACCCAGCATTACTATTGTGGGTAACTAGTACAAGTCCACCTCATTTTAGGGCTTGTAGGTACTGTGTGCTTTATGAATTGCATCTCTGGATACCAATTTTCCAACAGCTCTCAAGATAGCTAGCATTTTTCATCAATAAAGTGTTTCCTGATTAAGATATATACATTGTTTTGTAGACATAAGGCTATAGACTTTCCAGTTTAGTGTAAAAATAGCTCTTAAATGCACTGGGAGACCACCACTGTTGTGCATCTTGCTTTCTTGTGTTATCTGGCGCCGACCTGCATTAGCGCCTAGCAGGGCCTGTGTCAAACACTAGACGCTGGGCCAAGTAGTTTAAGTGCGTTAGCACCAGCACTTATAATTCTTACAGCATCTGGGAGAAGAAAATGTCTCTGAGGGTTGGAATTGCTTTTTGGGAGTCAAAAAGGGGTACATGTGGCCCTGAGGAATAGAGGTGGCTTCACACCCGAACCAGTTGGACGCCAGAATCCGATGCAGCGGCATTAGCTCAGATCTTCCGTTCAGCCGGGGAGAGCCTGGCCAAGGCCCGGGCCCTCTCCTGACCACCTCCTCCCCTCTCCCAGGTCGGCTACCAGATCCGCTTTGAGAGCACACGCTCTGCTGCCACCAAGATCGTGTTCCTGACGGTGGGGCTGCTGCTGAGGCAGATCCAGCGGGAGCCCAGCCTGCCCCAGTACCAGGTTCTGATCGTGGATGAGGTCCACGAGCGGCACCTCCACAATGACTTCCTCCTGGGCGTCCTGCGGCGCTTGCTCCCCACGAGACCTGACCTCAAGGTCATCCTCATGTCGGCCACCATCAACATCTCACTCTTCTCCAGCTATTTCAGCGGTGCGCCTGTGGTGCAGGTGCCTGGGAGGCTCTTCCCCATCACGGTCAGTGCCCCCTCCCCGACTCCCAGCCTCCTCTCTGCTGCTGTTGCCTGTTTCTTCAGTTAAGGACTTGTACTCTCTTTCCTAAACCTGGCATTTACTGAACAAGTTCAATGTGTGTACATGGTGCTAGGTGCTTCTTAGAAGAGACCCCCAAAGTGCTAAGGCTCGAGACAGAAATCTGTTTCTGTAACAGTCTGGCTGATCCAGGCTGCTGGGCCACTCTGTTCCAAGTGGTCATTCAGGGAACCAGGCTCCTCCTTCCTCACTGCTCTAGAGCGCACAAGGCCGTGTTTCTCAAACTTGGTGCCTTTGACATTTGGCCCAGGCACTTCTCAGTTTGGGGGCCGCCTGTGCCTTGTAGCACTTTGAGCAGTGTCCCTGGCCTCTACTCTCTGGCATCAGTAGCATGCTCCTCCCCCAGTTGTGACAACCAAAAATGTCTCCAGATGTTCCCCTGTGGACAGACCCACCCCTGTGAGAACCACTGCCCTGGAGAGTTGTTCTGGTCCAAGCTTCCTGGGAGAGGGAAGCAGCTAAAGTCCAGGAGGCCAGATTGGTTCTAAGATGGACACTGCCTTGTACTTGCTTCCACTGATCATTTCAGGAGGCTGGAAAATGTCACCCACAGCAGCCCCCACTGTCACTCTGACTCCACTGCGTTTTATTAAAATCTCACTGGATGCAGCTAGTACCAGAAGAAATTGAGAGACAGACCTTTCAGGTAGCAAGAAAGGGAGTGTGGGGGTCATGAGAAAGACTGCTTTTTAGGTCTTCTTGCTGTTTGTTCCACCTAAGCTAGGCAGAGATCATTTTTAGGGTCCCAGCTCTCTGCTCTCTCAAATACATCCACCCTGAACTTGTTCCCCTTTGCTGTGGCTTGCATAGTTTCATCAAGAATGATGGAGCTGCCAGCTGATGACTACCAGGCCAACATTTAGCTGAGTATGTGCTCCACAGTGACAGACAAGAGCTCACAGGAGTCCCTCACGGCCTTGGGAGTTCCGTGCCAAGAATTCCTACCCATGAGGGTGAAACTGAGGCCCAGGGATGTGGAGTCACTCACTGATGGGACAACTCACAAGTGGCAGAGCCCCGAGTCCTGCTCACAGACAGACCCAGCTCTGTGCCACGCAGCTCCTGCTGGCCCGTTTCCCTTCCCCACCTTCCCGTCTTGCCCAGGGGCTGCCCCGTGGGTGACACTAAGGACTCCTTTCTTTTGGCTTCCCATTGGCCATTGGGAAACATGCTGTCCCTGCTGCCAGGACTCCAGGGACCGTGCGTGAAGCCAGCTCCCACTACATACCCCTCTCCTTTTGGACCTCTCCTTCCTTTTGCACATTTGGGCCCAGCCTTAAGAATGCCCGAAGTTTCTAGCACCAGGAGACTGCCCCACTCCTTGTGTTTCCTGAGTACCCATCAGCCTGTCTTTTAAAGAGCCAGAATGAGGGTGTTTTCCATCTAGGGTTTTAATCCTGGCTCTACTCTGAAAATGTTGAAGTTATAACTCAGGCACAAGAGTACATGTATCCCAATTGCCATACTCAATTACTTTGCACAAATTAAATGCCTGTGTGGCACCAGTGGCCAGATAAAAAACACAACCTTTTCCAGCACCCCAGCAGCCTTCCGGTTACCTTTAGCACCGTCCTTTTTTCTCCCTTCTGAAATGATGCACTTCAGTGCTGCTTCGGCCACCTGGCTGACCTGCGCCTGTCTGGGGCTGTCCCCTCACAGGTGGTCTACCAGCCACAGGAGGCGGAGCCCCCCACGACCAAGTCCGAGAAGCTGGACCCACGGCCCTTCCTGAGGGTGCTGGAAGCCATTGACAGCAAATACCCACCTGAGGAGCGGGGTGACCTCCTGGTCTTCCTCAGCGGCATGGCAGAGATTAGTGCAGTGTTGGAGGCTGCCCAGACCTACGCCAGCCACACCCAGCGCTGGGTGGTATTGCCGCTGCACAGCGCCCTCTCTGTGGCCGACCAGGACAAGGTAGTGCTTTCCGCCAGGCTGGTGGGGGTCTAGATGTGGAGGCTGTGGGGCTTGGTGACTACAGGCAGGACTGAGGTGACCCCACAAAGGCAGGGCTATGGGCGGCAGGTGGAGCCGCTTGTATCTTTTAGATGGGGGCCTCTGCACCAGGGTGAGCTTCCTGATGGCACCAGAGGCCATGAGGTGGGCAAACTTTCTAGAAAGGTCCATGGAGTACATATCTTTAAGTTTGTGGGCCTGTGGTCTCTGTCACAACTTTACAGCAGGAAAGTACTCAGAGATTGATTGACCAGTGGAACTGATTTTGATCTATGGGAGCAGATGGTAGGCTTCATTTGGCCCTCAGAGCCCCAACTCTGGCTCAGCCCCACTGTTGAGTCACCCAAGAGGGGCCTAGAAAAGGCTTTGTTCAAAGGGCCTGAAGTGAGAGATAGATAGGGTACTGGGAAGTGACCTGCAGGGTCGCTGTCTTCCTAGCTGTGAGGGGATCAGGAGAGATGGGACTGGAGAGGTGGCAGGGTTACCCCACAGGGGCCCTGAAGTCGGGGTGTGGTGCAGGGTTTGTCCAGAGTGCACTGGGGAGCCAGGGTGGGTTCCGAGCAAGGAGATAGAGTAGGGGCATCCCTGGCTTGCGCTTTAGCAACTCCCTCTGCTGTTGTGTGAAGGATGGACTAGAGGGGAGTTTGGAGGTGAGAGACCAGGGAAGAATCTGGAACGGGATTAGGGGGAAGAGTAGGGGAAAAGGACAGGAGAAGGAGAACCTGGACCAGGGCAGGGACTGTGAGCTTGGGGGAGGGGATGAATTCAAGAAATGTGGGAGATGTTCAAGTGTGGCTGTAGGGTAGGGGTTGGGATGGCCAGGGTCAAGAAGGACCGACGGCTGTAGGTGCTATGGCTGATGGCAAGCCATCTCGATGAGCACTGGAAGAGGGAAGGGTTCAGTGGAAGGTCGAGCAGGAAGGGCTGAGTCACCTTACTGATGCCACCTGCTCACTTTCCCCAGGTATTCGATGTAGCACCTCCCGGAGTCCGGAAATGCATCCTCTCCACTAACATCGCCGAGACCTCAGTCACCATTGACGGGATCCGCTTTGTAGTGGATTCAGGTAAGGGCTGCCTCCAAGGGCCTAGAAGGAAGTATGGGGTTTGCAGAAGTGCAGTTAGGGAACCGCACAACAAAGCAAAAAGCAAGCCGCGGTTAGGAGCAGCGGGAAAGGCCTTATCTTTCCCAGTCTTCCATCTGCCTCAGGGCCTTTGCACGTACTGTTGTCTTTGCTGAGGGCTGTGTCTTTCCAGATGTCTACCCTTCCCTAGTCACCTCATTTCACGGCCTGTGTTAATGTCTCCCCATTAGAGAGGCTCACCCTATTGACTTTTACTTACGGTCTCGTCCTCCACCGCCACTTCCCCTATAGGGCTTTTTCTTTCTTCCCAATATAGAAATCATTTTGGATCTGTTGACTGCTTATTTTTGTCTTCCCAACTAGACACTGACTTTCTCCAGAAAGCCTGGCAGAGTGGTTAAGGGATGTTAGAGTCAGCCTGGCCACATTTACTGGCCCCGTAATCAAGGTTTTCAAACCGACAAGCTCCAAGCATCATTTGGTTCCTCTGTAAAATGGCAACAATATCAGTTGCCCTCATGTTGTAAGGTTGAGAGAGGTTCATACACTGGGTGGTCAGGGCACACTGTGAGCCCTTGATAAATGTTAGCAATTACCTCCCTGAACTTGCTGACTCTGGGCTGTATTCATGAGAAGACATTCCATTACTTCATGTACCACTGCAAAAATTTCCAAATGACTTGCTGTTGATTTTAAGGTGCAGCCCATTTTCATAGACAAAAATGTGCAGAAAGCCTGGCCTTAGAGTCAATGAAACTTGGTGTTCTTTTCAACCCTGTGGGATCCTTTCAACCTGTGGGGTTTTGTTTACAGCTGGTATACATAGTAGGCACTTAATATCTATTGACCTACTAAACAACTGAATAAGAAGAGGCTTGAGATAACAATTGGAACCAAATGTCAATGAAGAAGTGAGAGAATAAATTAACAAAATGTTAGGGTGGAATCCAGCATAAGCTGTGGGTCATTGTTAATGTAATAAAGGAATAATGGGATAAAATGTTGATGGAACAAGTCAGCATGTGGGTGAATGAATGAATGGGCAGGGCCAGGCTTGTGGCGGGTCCATATGTGTCCTTCTCTCCCTTTCCCCCTCCTTTCCCCCCAGGGAAGGTGAAGGAGATGAGCTATGACCCTCAGGCCAAACTGCAGAGACTGCAGGAATTCTGGATCAGTCAGGCCAGCGCAGAGCAGCGTAAGGGCCGGGCGGGCCGTACAGGACCCGGCGTCTGCTTCCGTCTCTATGCCGAATCGGACTACGATGCCTTCGCTCCCTACCCGGTCCCAGAGATTCGGAGGGTAGCCCTGGATGCCCTGGTGCTGCAGGTGAGGCCTGCAGGGAGGGGGCTGTGTCCTGGGTGCTGATGCCGAGGAGCCGGGAGCCCCTGAGACCCAGCCCACCCCAGCTTTCAGGGCCAGGAAGGGCAGGGCTGGCCAGGCCAGTGGAGGCGTTCATCCCTTTCACACATCACATCCCCTGTTGAGGGGAGCATTGTTCCCCATGTTCCCAGGGGAATCTATACCATGAGTCCATCAGAATGCTTTCAGCTGAAAGCCCTTCAAGAAGGGGCTTTCGAAACCAGCTTTCTTGACATGTTTTTGGTCTTGGCTCACAGATCCGTAATTAGTGTCACTGCTGTGGCACATAGAAACTCTGTGTGGTGGGCCGTCTTAGGATTCCAGTCATGGGCAATGAAGGAGATATCCAGAGAAGTAAAGTCACAGATATCCTGGTCACAGGTCATGCACCTGAGCCAGGATTCCATGGAGGCTGTGAGGTGCGGCTCCTCCCCCTCCTCCTCCATCCTGAGTCAGAAGCAGTGAAACCTTTCCTCGAGGCTCCTGACTAATCTCCCATCCTGTCTTGTCCACACTCTGTGACCTATAATGTGAAGACCCAAATGTCTGCCTAATTGGGCCAGAGCAGTGATTCTCAGCCCCAGCTACACTTTGGAGTCACCTGAAAAAGTTAAAAGTAAAAACAAACGTGCCTGAGCTTCTGATGTGAGATCCTTTAGTGGCTGTTGGAAGCGCTCGGGTGGCCAGAACTGCAGTTGCCCTCCAGGGGAGGGAAGGGTGAGCAGACGCCTGGCTGGGGTGGCTGAGCCCCCAGGCTCACTCAGCTTTCTTCTCTGGTGGTGACACAGCCGCCAGGCCAGCCTTGCCTTCACCCACTTGTGTGCTTGCTCTGCCAGGCCTGAGCGGGAGCGCGTTTCCCTTCATTCTCCCGCAACCTACTGTCCCCGCGGCCTCCAGACGCCTCAGGATTCTTGGCTGCCAGTGAGGGAAGCCCAGCCCAAACTATTCGCAGGAGGGACTTGTGTATGGCTTGTGGGAGGAGGTGTGGCTTAGGAACAACTTAAAGATGTGTCTAGCTGCTGTGGCTGGGCAGCTTCCAGGAGATGGAAAAAAATGACCACAGCTCTGGGCAGCCATCCCGGCCCCTCCCCACCAGAGCAAGCTGGGACTTCGCCCCAGCGGCAGGCGGCAAAGTCCCAGGGAAGGATTCTGATTGGCCCAGCTCAGGTCACGTGGGCTGAGAACTTGGTTCAGCTTTGAGCCTGTCCTGGCTCCTCCACCAGCAGGGTCTAAGGGGAGGGGTGTTGGGCAGACAGAATGACAGGCAAGGCCCCCTGACACTGGGAATTTTGGGGTATTATGGTTTGTGATCCATGAGAACCCCCCCACCCCCAGTGCACCACAGTAGCTCATGGGTCCCCATTTTGGGGCACTGGTTTTTATTCCAGATGAAGAGCATGAGCGTGGGGGACCCCCGAACCTTCCCCTTCATTGAGCCTCCACCACCAGCCAGCCTGGAGACGGCCATCCTCTACCTCCGGGACCAGGGGGCTCTGGACAGCTCCGAGGCGCTCACCCCCATCGGTTCCCTGTTGGCCCAGCTGCCTGTGGACATTGTGATTGGTGAGGGTCCCCCTTCGGGTGACGACATGGATACTGCTCCCTCCAAGCCAGTTCCTTCTCTGTTCATTCAGCCACAGTTCCTCCATGGTAACGCCCTTCCAGGTGCCAGGGCTATAACAGCTAACAAAATAGAGCTGGCACACCCTGTTCCCAGCTCCACCCTGGTGTCCCCCTCGTGTGGGCCTGAGGATGTCACAACTGCCCACATCTTCCTCTTGCTCCTTACTGAGTCACCCCTGCCCCGCCCAAACGGCCCCCTGACCGAGCCTCGTTCAGTGGGCCTGATGGAGACAGTGCCTGTCTCCCCCAGCCGCCCACAGCCTGCAGAATGTTCACAGCTGAGCACAGAGCACGAGCTCATTTCTCCAGCCTGGTGCTGCGCCCTCCACCTGTGTCCATGCCATGGTAGCCCCCACCAAGGCTGCAGTGTGGGCCACAGGCTGCTACCCCAGGCGCCATGGCTCTCACAATACTTATTTTTGTTTTAAAAGGGCTGGAGCTAGGAGAATCCAGCCTGAGAAGGAAAAGCACTTTCTGTGAGCATTTGCTGTTGTCAGTGAGGGCTTTGTGGCCCTTATTTCATCCTCTCCTGGTCAGGGTGCCGTGTCCAGACATGCCTCTTGCACAAATGAGGTAACTGAGGTTAAGCCCCGGGCAGCGAGGATGAATCAGAGGAGGGACTGGCACAGGCTGACCACAGGTCAGGCCGCACAGTTCTGAGCCTCCGGGTGACGCAGGCCAGGGAACAGCTGGATCCTGCTGAGCCTCATGCCTCAGTGTGATGTCTTCCCAAGCCAGAGCCATGCCTTAGACCAGCAGGCCACAGTCAAACTCACTTCTCCATTCTTCTCTGACCCCCTTCCCCCTCCCTGCCCCTTCTCCTCTCTCTACCTTCAATTAAATGACGGCAGGAAGAGTCTCCCTGAGACAAGCACAGAGCCATGGCCTGCCATGTGCCAGGCCAATGTACAACAGGGCAGAGCCAGTGAAAGCCAGAGTTGGGAAGAAAACTAAAGCCAGAAGAAGGTGCAGAGCGCTGTGAAGAGACGAGCAGGGGGTGGGGATGTCGCGGATAACAGCTGTCAGCACTTAGTGTCCACACTGCCCAAAGAGCGGGAATTGTGTTCTCTGCCACTTACAGGCGGGGAAACTGAGGACCCGAGGTTACACCACTGGAGAGTAGAATGTGGGCTTGATTTTGTCCATCTGGCTTTGAGCCCCTTTGTGACAGAGAAGGAGGGAGGCAGGGGTAGGATGGGGGTGGGGAGAGTGGGCCTGGGGAATCTGAGGATCCCCAGAGGGGTGAGAATGTTCATGTCCTCCCCAGGGAAGATGCTCATCCTGGGCTCCATGTTCCACCTGGCTGAGCCGGTGCTCACCATCGCGGCCGCCCTCAGCGTCCAGTCACCCTTCACCCGCAGTGCCCAGAACAGCCCAGAGTGTGCAGCAGCTCGGCGACCCCTGGAGAGTGACCAGGGAGACCCCTTCACCCTCTTCAATGTCTTCAACACCTGGGTGCAGGTGAGGCCTGAGTGGGGCCTCCGCTCTGTGTCTGTTGTTCTGCAGGGGTCAGGGCCTCTGTGGGCTGTCGCTCTCCCCATCTCCTCCCCAGGGAAGACCCCCGAGCCTATCTCCACCATTCAGCCCTGCTCAGGCTCAAGGGGGAGCATGGGCCCTGGAGCAGTGGGGGCTGGAGAAAGCCCAGACCCGAGGGTGGAATCTGATTATCCGCCATGATCCCGAGCCCCTGAGGTGGGCCTACACTGGGCAGCCCTGGGCCCGGTGATGACCAAACCCCACAAACTCCCAGGGCTCATGGTCCAGTGCAGGGACACAGACCTGTCCCCAGGTAATGACCACCCCAATGGAGAGCTCCAGGGTTCTGGGGGCTCGGAGAACAGAGAAGCACACCTGACAGCGTGTGTGGCTCAGACGGCTTCCTATGGGGGGGGCAGCCATGACCCTGATAGGAGAGGGCTGGCAGGCTCCCCCTGCTGGGCATCGCCCCCTTCTGCTGCTGGGGCCCTGCTGGGGTGGTCTGGGTGGTGGCTCAGGCCCCTGCACCTTCTGAGTTGGGTGGGTGGGTGCTGAGACTGGTGCTGCCCCCACCCAGGTGAAATCTGAGCGGAGCAGGAACTCCCGCAAGTGGTGCCGCCGCCGGGGCATAGAGGAGCATCGGCTGTATGAAATGGCCAACCTGCGGCGCCAGTTCAGGGTGAGGCTCGGGACCGGGACAGGGCCGGTGGGGCGGGGCCTGAGAGAGCACACACAACGCCTCTCCTCTGACCCGAGTCATCCCAGATCCCCACCGGACATCACCGCTCCCGCCAGACCTGTGCTGGGCACGGGGTAGATCCAGGAAGGCTTCCGGGGGGTGCACAGTGTCAGCGGTCTCATTCCGCAGCCTCAGGAGAACCTGCTTTCTGGAGTAGGGACACCGACCGACCGGCTGCCCGGGCTGGATGGCTGCCCGGGCTGGATGCGGGGAGGCAGCCTTGCGGCCCAGGGGCCAACCCCAGTGGTCCCGGCAGGGGGTCTTGGACAGCCCTGTTTTCCATTTGAGGAAAATTTTGGCTCAGAAGTGGGAGGTCACTAGCCGGCAAGAATCTGGGTCCAAAGACCCACTTGGCCTCACTCAGGGCCCCACCCCCCGCAGGAGCTACTGGAGGACCACGGGCTGCTGGCTGGGGCCCAGGCCCCAGAGCCCGGCGACGGGTACCACCGGCTGCAGCAGCGCCGGGAGCGCCGGGCCCTGTACCAGCTGAAGCGCCAGCACGAGGAGGCTGGAGGGCGCCGGCGCAAGGTGCTGCGGCTGCAGGAGGAGCAAGATGGCGGCTCCAGCGATGAGGACGCAGCGCGCACGGCCTCCCGGGGGACTGGTGACAGCGTGGACATCCAGGTGGGCGGGCACGGGGCTGGCTAGGGGTGGGGTTACCGTCGGGGCACAGGCCATGCTGCGAGTCTCACCTCAGTGCCCATGGGCAGGGCATGCTAGGCCATGTGCACCCTCATAGGTCCATGGGCTCTGGCCCAGGCCCCTTGGGAAGATCCCAGACACCCACCTTCCGCCATGCCCACAGGATGTGAAGTTTAAGCTCCGGCACAACCTGGAGCAGCTGCAGGCAGCCGCCAGCTCAGCCCAGGCCCTGACTCGAGATCAGATGGCCCTGCTCAAGCTGGTGCTGGGCCGGGGCCTCTACCCCCAGCTTGCCGTCCCTGACCCGTTCAACAGCGGCCGCAAGGACTCCGACCAGGTGGGGCAGCTTCCCGTAGCCTGTCCCATGGGGACACAATGGTGACCAGACTTTGTGGGGCTCATAATCCATCAGGGGGCTGGAATGGGAGAGCCAGGGGGCTGGGAGGCACAGGGGCATCTCACCCAGCCTGGAGGCAGTCAGGGAGGTTTCCTGGGTGGGGGACTTTTGAGCTGATACATGGAGGAGGGAGCTGGACAGGAGGGAGGAAAAAAAAGCATTCTGCACAGTAAGAAGAGCAGGTCTAAGGGCCTCTGCCCCCTGCACCCTCTTCAGATTTTCCACACCCAGGCCAAGCAGGGCACCGTGCTGCACCCCACCTGTGTCTTCGCCAACAGCCCCGAGGTGCTGCACATACAGGAGCCGGAGGCCAGGGGGAGCGAGGGGACCCGAGGTATGGTGAGCCCAGGCAGGGAGAGAGGAACCCACAACCCAGCTGAAATGGGGGACACAGTGGCCTCAGAGTGCTGCTCACCACCTGCAATTACCCCTCACTCCCCCCACACTCAAGGGCTCGGAAGGAGGAGCGGTCCTGTGAGCAGGCTCATGGGTCTGGCACGTCCACCCGGGCCAAGTCCATCCACCCCGCGGTGCGGCTTTCCCAGCACTGCAGCCGTTGCCAAGGCCACGCGCTCACGGCCTGTCCCTGCAGCCCTGCTGCGTGTCTGGCCGCATCTGGCTGTCACATTCGCTGGCCTACCCGAGCAGGCCACGAGCTGCCTCAGCTCAGGCCCGGTGGGGCTGCGCTCCTGCCCTGGAGGGCTGCTTCCATTTCCCTAACTCAGGATACAGCTCAGGTCTCCTCATTTGACAGGAAGGTTTCAGATGCTTTGAAGATGGCAAATCCTAATCCCAAGAAGATAAGGCTTAGAATTTAAAATTCTAAGCATTTGAAACTTTTCTCTCTAACCTTTACTGTCATTTTCTAGCCAGTCTTCTCTCACGCAGTCAGTCTGTTCTCTCTTCAAGTTCCGAGCACCAGCCCAGCAGAGAGAGCTCCGTGGCCTCCCACAGTATGAAGCTGTTGGCATTTTGCCATCCTGATTTTCTGTCCTCTCATCCCCTCCCCCGCAACACCACGGATTTATGCTGAAATTTTAAACGCTGATTGTTGATATTAATCAGTAATAATTATCTTTGCATTTCCACGATGCTGTCATCACTCTTAACAACATTAACAGTGATTCCTTATTATCACCAAACAGCGACCATCCCATTTGTCAGGCAGAGTATTTAAGGAGCATTTTGTCATTACACACACCGGCATATTCTCTCTGCAGAGGTGACACGTGTAGGTGCCCCAGCTAGGACAGGTGCCCCCTGGGGGGTTTAGACAGGTGTGGGCGTGTGGATGGGAGACCAGGTGACCCTGAGCTGCCCCCTGTCCTGCCCTCTCAGAAGACAAGGACAAGATGAGCAGCAGGCACCAGCTCCTCACCTTCGTCTCCCTGCTGGAGACGAACAAGCCCTACCTGGTGAACTGCGTCCGCATCCCTGCTCTCCAGGTGGGTCTGGGCCCCACGTCCCCCTCCAGGTGTGAGGGTGGCTCTCAGGGCGGGAGCATGTGGGCACTGAGACCACCTTCTCCCAGGGACTTGGGGGGCTGGGAGATCTGGTAGCTAGGTAGGGAGATGAGGGGTCTGCCGGATGCAAGGTGGGTGGCTGGGCAGGAGCCCAGCGGGCAGAGGCCACTCTGAGAGGCATGCTGCCCTCACTGCGGGACCTCCCACTCCTCTCCTGCAGTCCCTTCTGCTGTTCAGCCGGTCTCTGGATACCAATGGGGACTGCACCCGCTTGGTGGCCGACGGCTGGCTGCAGCTCCAGCTTGCAGATAGTGAGAATGCCATCCGGCTCCTGGCGGCCGCCCTGCGGCTCCGAGCCCGCTGGGAAAGTGCACTGGACCAGCAGCTGGCTCACCAGGCCCAGCAGCGGCGGCTGGAGGAAGAGGAGGATGAGGAAGAGGCGCCCCTCAACCCCAAGGAGGTGACAGCCTTGAGCAGAGAACTGCTTCAGTTCACAGGCTCCAAGGTACCTGCTCCAGGGATGGAGACGCCAGGCGGCCTAGAGTCCAGTTTGTTCAGGGCGTAAATGGTGGGGAGGGTGTTCAAGCCAGAGAGGGTGCTGCCACTCCCAGGGTCACACAGTAGGCAAGGAGTGGGGCTAAGATTTGGCCCCAGGAACCAACCGGAGGCCATGCTATTCACCTGCCATGCCTCCTTCATTGAACAGATGTTTATTAAGCATCTACTGAATGCTTGATATGGATTACCCCTTGTCGCAGTTAACATCTTGCAGGGTGTGAGAGCGAAGCTGGAAGGTATCCGTTTGTGGAGGGCAGATGGGAAGAGCAGATTTGAAGCCAAACCCACCTCTCAAAGAAAGGCTGACGTGCTGGGAGGAGGGCCAGGTGGCTAGACTCAAGATCTGGATGTAGCCCAGCACGAGTCAGGGAGCAGGGGCGGTCTGGGGAGGCTGTGGAGAGAGGGGAGAGGGCCTCTAGGCCTGTTGTTGGTGAGCCTGGCCATGGAGTCTGAAAACATGTGACTGGCTTAGCTGTTGGCCCCTACAACTGGGAAGTCCAGGAATGGGTTTCAGGCGCAGCTGGGCCCAGGTTCTCCGACAGTGTCCTCCTGAGCCTGTTCCTCTCTCTCGTCCTCAGGTTTCTTACAGCATCCGGCGGCTTACAGGGCTGGAAGCCCAAAACCTCTATGTAGGACCCCAGACCATCACAACTGCCCCCAGCCTCCCTGGCCTCTTTGGCAGCTCTTCCCTGTCCCCCCACCCTACCAAAGGAGGCTATGCAGTCACTGATTTCCTCACCTACAACTGCCTCACGGTGAGCACGGCCCCCACCTTGGTCCCTCCCTGTCCTACTTCTAAAACCAGATTTTAGGGATCTCCTTCCTCTCCCGTCCACCACATTCCAACTCAGTCCAGGGATACGGTTTTGTGAGGGCCTCTGAAGAGGGTCCCAGGAGGGCGGGGGGACTTACAGTGGGTGGGGGCAGCTCTGACGCAGCCCGCCTGTCACAGAGCGACACAGACCTGTACAGCGACTGTCTCCGCACCTTCTGGACCTGCCCCCACTGCGACCTGCACATGCCCCTGACACCCCTGGAGCGCATCGCCCATGAGAACACCTGTCCCAAGGCCCCGCAGGATGGCCCCCCAGGTAGGGACGCAGCTCTGGGGCCAGAGCGCCTCTTCTTTCCTGAGCCTCTGCCACTTATTTGCTGACAGGCAGGGATGGACAGCCTCCACCTTCTGGCCCCGGCTAGACACGGTGGGCTTCGTCACAGAGACCAGAGCCTGGGGTGGGGCTGCCGGAGCGCCAGCGTCTGTGTCTGTCTCTGGACTTTTCCCGTTGCCGACTCCATCGTGCCTGTTTCTCTTGCTCTGTCTGTGTTGCTCTTGCTCTGGTTTTATCCGTCTTTTCTCTTCCCACACCTGTCTCTGCCTTGTCTGCATCTGCTCTCTGCTCTCTTCCACGTAGTCACCCAGGGGAAGCCACAGTGTGCAGACCCCAGCACAGCGCCTGCCGCTCGCTCCATAAACCACACACGGGGGCGAGGGGTTATGGCAGTGAGGCCACACGCTCCCTCCCCAGGGCTCTGTCTCTTCCAGTCTCTGGCTCTCCTTGTGTCTGTCTTTCTGTCTGTCTCACCCCTTGGGGACATAGAATGATGCCTGTGTGTATGTTAATCAAGAAGGCTCCCCAGAAGAGGCAGAGCCAGATTTCCAGGGCCAGGAGAGGACCCAAAACCCTTCAGTGCCTGCGATTTGGGGGTGTGGTGAGAAAGAACACACAGTGGCACACCTCCCTCACAGCCTCCCTTTTCCTCTCCTGTAGGGGCCGAGGAGGCCACCCCAGAGCCCAGCCAGAAGGCATCTGCCCTGCAGAGGCCCTACCACTGCGAGGCCTGCCAGAAGGACTTTCTGTTCACACCCACAGAGGTGCTGCGGCACCGAAGGCAACACGTGTGAGGTCGGGCAGGTGCCTGCTGACGGCCTGTGTCCCATCGGGGACTAGGAGCCACCCCACTCCCTAGCCAGGACTCTGACCAGAGGAGTGGGCACTCAGCCCTCTGGGAGGGCGTATGAATATGTGAATAAAGTCTTCCTCACTTGAAGGTGCTCTGCCCAGCCAGCAGGTAGCAGCTGCCTCTGCCTGTCTTTCCTGTGGCCTGGCTTTCTGCTCTCCTGCTGCAGCCTGCAGTCTGGGTAGATGTGGGGGTGAAGGCCTAACAGGGAGGCCTCTTCTCTCCTTTGAACAAGGGGCCCCTGCATTGTCCCATCCCATGAGCTGGGGTTGTGTCAGGACCTGCTTCCGGAACAATGACCAGGGACATTTCAGCTGTAGGGTCATGGACAGGTCTCATACTGTCCCCTCTGAAGGCCCCACCCGCCTTCCTCTCCCTGAGATGCCTCCTGTCTGGCCAAGGGCCATCCCCACCTAGACCTCCTGCCCCTGACTCTCCTGCCTGAGCTGCGAGCTTTACTGCTGGATTGTGTTCCCCCACTCCAAACAAAGGCTTCTTTGCCCCAGCTTGTGACCTGCCTCTCCACTCAGAGCCAGGTCCAAATCCTCTTTCCCACCTACACACCCCCTTAGCCAGTCGTATGGGCCCTTCCTTCCATCCAGCACCTGACCCCTGGACCTCGTCTCTGGACCCTACCCTACCCACTCATGCATGGACTCGATCAGTGCCCAGAACTGGGCTCCCTGCTTCCGTTTCACGCCTCCTGATGTCCATGCAGGAATCCAAAGGATCCTGTCAGAACCCAGTTGTATCCTGTCAATCTCCTGTTATGCTCACCTGAGGCTCCTGACTCGCAGTGAGATTTGGTCCCAGGTTGCCTTAGGGACTTGGTCACCACACATTTCCCTACTTCACTACAGCCTACCAGGCTCCTGTCCGCTCCTTGCACGTGCCCAGTACTGTCGCACCACAAGACATTGCATATGCTGTTCCCCGTGCTGGGAATGCTTTTCCCCACAGCATCTACAGGCTTGGACCACTTACTTGATTTGGTCACTACTCAGGTGTTAAGTGGCTAACGGCCACCTGTTTTAAGGGGGCCAGTCACTGAGTGAATGGGAGTGAGTGGGCAGGACTGAAGCTGAAAAGCACATGTTCCTCCCTTTCTGGGGCCAGTGCAGGGACCCAGGACAGCCAGCTCCCCTTGCATAGGTCCTGGGTCAGGACATGCTTGAAACCATAACCTGCCCTCCTAGGGTCCTGTTCCGGTCAAGCTAAGGAGGATCACACAAGCCCATCCTCTCTCTGCTCAAAATTCTGTGACTAGAGGGGCTGGGGTGGGGTGGGGGGAGTGCTGAAGCTCTGATACTTGCCCCAATATGGATGAGGCTCAAAAGAGTAGGCCATGTGAAAGAAGCCAGCAAGGAGAGGTGGTGATCCTGAGTCCACGTGCAACAAAAACTCAGAACAGGCCAATCCATACACCTCAAGGTGGATGGGAGGTTGCCCCAGGTGAGGGCATGGAGAGGGATGAAAAGAGCTGTGGATGGGTAGACGGCTTCATTTTGGGGTGAAAGAAGTTGATGACCGGTATGGACGTTGGAAAGCCCCTGAAGAACATGCTTTCAACGCAAGGACTTTACCGTGTGAAAATACTGCTGCCAGGAAGCGTCGCGGAAACAAACTCGGAGAGGCTCCGCAGCGCCCCCTGGAGGGAGCACAGGCTCATGGCCTGCCCGCATCCTGCCGCGAAGAGCTGGGCGACTCTGACGCCTAACTCACCGCGGGCCACAGAACCACGCACAGAGACACTGTGGTAGAAGAAAGACCCACTTTGCCACGTAGTCTTCGTCAGATACGTCTGAGGCCCAAAGCCTGGTTGATGGACGCACGAGCACCGCACAGACACCACCTCTCCCGAAGGCACAGCCCCACCCTCAGCCATCCCTCAGCGACCCCAGCCCCATTCGGTGGCAGGACAGCTGTGGACACTCGTGGGGACGCCCACTGCACGGACGGCGAGCCCCACAATCATGCACTCCCCCTCTCTCCCTACAGGATTCCAAGGACCCCAAGCAGGCCACCCTGCTACACCACCTCCCCAGCTCTTCCCATTCAGCAAAGCTCACTCACCGCACAGGCAACTGGGAACTCTGGCGTCCAGGGGGCGAGTTACTCACCTCAGGAAGTGAGGGAGGTATTTTTAGTTACAATTAACCTCCTGCCCAGATTCTCTCTACCCAGGGCACTTCCAATTGGTTTAATTAGGGAGGCATTTCCAGTGCCCTAAGTGTGGGGGAGGGAAGAGCCTTGACGGTTTATATGTCAGCTTCCTTTGCACTGCAGTCTTTTTGCTGGCTTAGCAAGGTCTGGGGTGGCAAGTACTGGGTACTTTTGTTCTCAAAAATCAAACTTTCTGGTAAGACTGTGGGGTAGGTAATATTGCAGGTAGGTGAAGTGCTGGTGTAGGCGCCAGCTTAGGGCAAATGCTGCTAGCGGCAAGAACTGGTAGCGTTAAGGAGCCAGTGGGGTGCCAGCCCAGGACCCAGTTTTAATTTTTTTAAATATAATTTCACCTCGACAGTCTTCCTTGGGAGGAGTCTGTAGTCTGATCAGTTGAGAATCCCAACAGATCAGCTGGTTCCGCCCCTCAGCTCAGAGCGCAGTTGCTGTCATCCCAAGGAACAGCCTCTGCTCTGAATGAGCACCCACTATGTGCCAGGCACTGTGCTGGGATGGCCCTGGCAGCACAGCAATCCCACGGGGTGGCTCTATTTTTTTTTTTATTACAAAGTTTATTTTTACATCATTTTGCACATTTTTTTTTCCATCTCGATTGTAATCCCCACGGGTTTCCCATCACCAGATCACCCCTGTGCCACCAAGGGGTGGCTCTATTAACGGTAAGAAATTGACATCTGTGAAGCTATTTTTAAAGCGAGCCGGCAACCACAGCAGAGAAATCACAAGACCTTTCTCGTTTGAGCTGCATGGAGACCCCTGGGTTGGGCCAAAAGCATTTAAGAAACCATCCAGTAAACAATCCTTTAAGAGCTAATGATTATGGGCTTCCAGCTGGAAGATAGTCACTTCCTTTCATCTTTTCTAGAAGATCATTAGCCAATCATGGACAGCCCAGGATAGTTTAAGCTTGTAAATTATAATCAACTCTTTTTCTTTGACCACTTACCTCTTCTTCCTCTTTCCCTCCCTCAAAAACAAAACAAAAAAAACTCATTTTGTCCCTTCCCAGGGCACATGTAAGGTTTTTACCTGAATCTGTGTCCCCTGGGTTATAATTATTTGATTCCAATAAATGTGCTTTGCCTTTTCACTGCTCCCACATTTCTAGAGGAACACTACTGTCCCTGTTTTTCACTTGTGGAAAATGAGGTCCAGATAGGTGAAGTGGAAGGTCCCAGGTAGTACAGCAGTGCTTGAATTCATGTCTGTCAGTGCAACTCTTAATGGGTGAGGCTATGCACACCCGGCCTACTCACTTCCTTTGGGACAGACAGAAACTTAATCTGTGAGCCAGTGTGACAGACTGATGCCAAAACAGCCAAACTTCTTCAAGGCTCCCTGCAATCACATCTCAGGAGTTTGGAGCTCCCCAACCCTGCCTTGTGGGGACATTGGTTCCTCCATTCTTGAATCTGGGCTGGTCTGGGCAGTGGAGATACCAGTGGGCCAATGTCCACAGAAGTAACAGAACGTGATGTTCAGCTATGAGTCATGGACCATTACCTAGACTTGCAGAACCAAGAGATGCCTGACAAGGAACCAAGAAAACAAAATGAGGGGCCACTGCACCACATTCAAAAATGAGGGGTTCATATGAAGGACTTCTCCCCATATGGCCAATTTGTACTGATCCACTGGACTTCAGCCAAGTCGACATCCCTTTGCCTTTTACATGCTTCTTGGCCAATAAAACTGCATCGCCAAAATCTCTTCCCCTGGGAGGGAAGAGAGATTTGAGTTTTGGGCTCTTTTCTTTTAGCCAGCTCACAAATAAGCTCTTTCTTGTTTCAAAATGCTGGTTTCATAATGTTGGTTTTATGTGCATTGGGCAGCAGCCCCCTTGTCTCTGTATCAACTATTGTTATAATTAGTGATTTATGAGCTTCAACTTGATTAAAAACTTGATTTTTGGAAGAGACACAATAACTCAGATTGGTGGCTTATCGTTTTTAAGATTTTATCATTAAAAAAAAGGTAGACGACATCAGAGAAGGATGGTAGGGGGAGAGAGGAGGTAACTAGGATGAAAGGAACCTCTTCCAAATGTCGGATCCAGGTGACCTTCCTTCCCTGACAGCCCCAGCTCACCCCCAATCCCTTCTCTGTCCTGGGGGTGAGGGCAGGGCCCAGTCACCAGCTTCTGAAGACCCAAACCTAGGAATTCAGCTAGGGTTCCAGGCAGAGGTGAGGGCAGAAGTGGGGCACGGGGCCTAGAGGCCTGTCTTTGTCCTTGAGAGACCCTCAAGGGGGTACTCAGGCCCCCCCATGTCCTGGCAGGGCCCCAGGGAGGTAGGCATTGAGTGGGGGAGGGGCCTTAGGAGATAAGGTCCTGAGGCCAGAGGGTCAGGCAGGAACTGGAACCAAGTGGGAGCTGGTGGTCACAGTCCAGAGCTCTGTGGAGAGTGGGGAAGAGGCTAAATCAGGAGGTGGAGAGGAGTTCTGGCCACATATCAGCAGTCCCCAAATTCCATAGTGAGAGTGAGAGAAAGAGAGTTTGGGAGAGTCACAGGGCAAGAGGAAAGAGGAAAGAGAGTGAGAAGGAGAGATAGAAGGGAAAGGGAAGAGAAAGAGGGAGAGTAAGGGAGGAGAGAGAGGGAAGGAAGGAATGAGAGAAGGAAGAGGGGAGAGGACCAGAACAAAAATGAAGAAGAGAGAGAGATTAAAAAGGGAACAAGGAGACAGTCAAGACAAACATATAGCTAGAGGAAGAGAAAGAAACAGGCAGGACAGGACAGAAGAAGAGACAGGTAGATAATCAGAGATGAAGCTGCAGAAAGAGAAAGAATGAGACACAGGCAGACAGAGCAAAGACAAGGTGGGAGAGACAGAAAAGGGCAAGGGAGAAATGGAGAAGAGGCAGCCTTCTGGGATAGCAGGATGAGACCCTTCCATCTCTGATGATCCCAGAGAACCCACGCCATATTCATCCAGCAGACC